GCTCCTGCGCAAGTGGCCGCTCTCCTGAGATTTCCCCAGGGACTTGGTTTTAAGTGGATTCCCTTCTCACTCACTGCCTGTGTGTCTCCTTGTTTCTCTCCTCTCAACTCCTTAGTTGGAACAGAGGCATTAGACCTGACATTTACTGACTATATTAGTTTTCTGTTACCACTGTAACAAATTTAATAACTTATGTGCTGCAGATTTTAAAATTCGGAAGGTCAGAAGTCTGAAATGGGTCTCAGCGGACTGAGTCAAGGAGGGCTTATGGCCCTGTTTCTCCAACAACATCGGACCAAATCCTTCTCGTGCTGCCTTCTCTCTGGATTCCCCCAGCTCCCCTAACACTTCCAAGGACCTTTGTGATTACATGGGACCCACCTGCATAACCCAGGATAATCTTCTACTTTAAAGTTCATTGATCAGCAACCTTAACTCCTTTTGTCATAAAACTCAACATATTCATAGATGCCAAGGGTTAGGAGGACATGGACATCATTAAAGAGCCATTCAACCTGCCATATAGTAAATCCTAGTAACTGTCATCGTAGCTGGTTACTATCATTTATTATTATCAGTAGAGGCCTGGTGCATGAAATTCGTGCATGGAGGGAGGTGTCCCTCAGCCCAGCCTGCCCCCTCTCCAATCTGGGACCCCCTCAAGGGATGTCCAACTGCCCGTTTAGGATCAGGCCTAAATGGGCAGTCAGACATCCCTCTCACACTTTAGGACTGCTGGCTCCCAACTCCTCGCCTGCCTGCCTGCCTGATGCCCCTAACCACTTCTGCCTGCCAGCCTGATTACCCCTAACTATCCTCCCCTCCCGGCCCAGTCACCCCCAACTGCCCTCCCTCCCCTGCTGGCCCAGTCACCCCCAACTGCCCTCCCTCCCCTGCTGGCCCAGTCACCCCTAACTGCCCTCCCTTGCCAGCCTGGTCACCCCCAACTGTCTTCCCCTGCAGACCTGGTTGCCCCTAACTGCCCTCCCCTGCAGTCCTGGTTGCCCCCAACTGCCCTCTCCTGTAGGCCTGATTGCCCCTAACTTGCCTCCCTTGCAGGTCTGGTCCCTCCCAACTCCCCTCCCCTGCTAGCCTGATCGCTCATAACTGCCCTCCCCTGTTGGCCATCTTGCGGTGGCCATCTTGTGTCCACATGAGGGTGGCCATCTTGTGTATTGGAGTGATGGTTAATTTGCATACTAGGCTTTTATTATATAGGATGATTATTTCATTACTTCTCCTTGGCCACAGCCCAGCCACCAGTAATTCAGTAGCTATTTGCATCTGAATTTGAGGAAATGAAATTTTCACTGCTCTGCATACATTTCAGGGGTTGGTGAGGGTTAACCAAACCCTGGTTTTTATTGTTGGTGGTTTGGGGGGTTTGTTTTTTATCTTTTTGAGATTTAAATACCATAATTCACCCTTCTAAAGTGTACAGTTCTGTAGTATCTTATATTGTAGTATCGAATATTTTATATTCACAGTTTTATAACCATCAACATTTAATTTCAGAATATTGTTCACCACCCCAGAAAGAAGCCCTGCTCCTTAAACTTGTCTCTCCTCATTATCCCTACCCCCAGCCTCTGACAGCCACTGATTTACTTTCTGTCTCTATGGATCTGTCCATTCTAGGCTTTTACTCTAAATGGACTCCTATAATGTGGCCTTTCTTTCACATAGCTTGTTTTCAAGGCTCGTCCATATTTTAGGGTGTATTAGTACTTCATTGCTTTTTATGGCTAGCTAATAATCCTTTGTATGGATGTACCACAATATGTTTCTCTGTTTATCAGTGATAACGATTGAGTTGTTTTTTCCTTTTGTCTGTATGATAATTCTGCTATTAACGTCGTGCATGTGTTTTTGTGTGGACATAGGTTTTCAGTTCTCTGGGGTATGATTCTGGGAGAAAATTGATGAGTCAAGTGGCAGTTGTATGTTTAACTTTCTGAGTAACTACCAAGCTGTTTTCCATCTGACTACATCATATTATTATTGGCTGAGGTCAAAACAACAAAAAATGCCAATAGCTCTCATTTATTAAGTACTAAATACTGCGCAAAGGGGCTTACAGATATTTTATTATTTGATCCTTACAGCTAACTTTATGAATACACTAGTCTCCCTTTACACATGTGGGATAAGTTCCAAGACCCACAGTGGATGCCTGAAACTGCAGATAACACTGAACCCCATGTATCCTATGTCTGTTCCTGTAATACACACCTATAATAAAGCTTAATTTATAAATCAGGGTCAGTGAGAGATTCACCACAATAAAGAATAACAAAATAAAACAATTATAACCGAACAATGTACTGCAATAAGAGTTATGTTACTGTGGCCCCCTGTGGCATGGGACCCCTTGCTGAAGTATTCCTTAGGCTCCGTGCTTTCTGGGGCACCACGTCATCATTAGTCAGAACACATTTCCTGCTCATGTCCTCCACCCACAAGTCTAATGCCTTTTTCATCTTAACTAAGAACTTACCACGCACTATGGGTATAACTTTTGCTGTTTTGAGGACTAACAGTAAAACTAGCACAAATTTCTTTTCCCTTCATAGTTTCATGGATAGAAGATTCATTCTTATAATAGACTAGTGACCCAATGCGCAGATTCATACACATTGAAAGGAAACTAATTAGAAGGTGGCTGGCAGGGCAGGACTGGGCTAGATGGCCAGGCACGTCCTGGAGCCAACCTCCCATGCTCTCTCCCTGGCCGCCTTCGCCTGCCTGGCACCAGGGCTCAAAAGGCGTCTGCTGAGTGAGCAGGGTCCCTCCGGCAGGTGGTGTCCCTCAACCTGGCCTGTGGGGATCGAGCCAAAACCGGCTCTCCGACATTCCTCTAGAGGTCCCAGAGTGCAAGAGGGCACTCTGTAAAGTTGTTAAACAGTGTGTGGAACAAACGCAAGTGTGCAGTAAACCAGATTCGGAGCAACAGTGCCCCAGCAACAACATAACAAACAACCAAAGGTGGAATCACATGGCCTTGCAAGAAATTGGGCTCCCTCCTCTCTGGTTTTGGGGTGCATCATCCAAGAACCGTAGCTACCCAGTCACTGCAGCTTGGCAGCTCCTGCATTGAGTGTCTGCCCCCTGGTGGTTAGTGCACATCATAGCAACCTGTTGGATGGAGGGAGGAACTGTTAGCATATTAGCCTTTTATATATATATATATATATATATATATATATATATATAGATCTTAGCAACCTCAGCATATGATAATTTTATTAAGTCAAAAATTTGACACTTCTCTCTCATATTTCCTAATTGCAAGCAGCACTAATCCTATACTTAAGGGTCACTATTGAGTAAAATAAGGCGTTTGTTGGACACTGCAGTGTGGTTCTGAATAGTAGATCTGACCAAGGCAGCTCCTGAGTGACTTGTGGATGGGTAGCATGTACAGCAGAGATATGCAGGACGAAAGATGGTTCATGTCCCGAGCAGGGCATTGCAAGATGACACAAGATAGCATCATGCTTCTCAGAACAGCATGCAATTTAAAACTTATGAATTGTTTATTTCTGGAATTTTCCATTTATTATTTTTGGACGTTGGTTAACCACAGGTAATTGAAACTGTAGAAAGTAAAACCACGGATCAGGGGATCTACTGTAAATATTATGTCTCTCAATTACAGATGAGAACACTAAGGCTTAGCTAAGTGAAGTGACTTTATCCAAAATCAGGCAGCTAACAGCAGCGGAGCCAGGGTCCAGGCTTAGAACTCTCAGAGGGTCCACTCCTTCCTGAACCCTCATCTACCTGCAGTGACCAATGTCACTGTCCTTGTGCAATTCTCCATTTAGAAAATCAATAAAAGTATATCTGGACATTTTTTAAAAGATGCCATTCTGCTTTGACCGTGTATGTGGCTTTGGACCTCATTTTCCTTATCTGCGGAATGTTGTGAAGGCTAGTGTTTCTCCAACATTTGTATGCCTCGGAACAACCTGGAGAGTGTCTTAAAACAAAAATTGCTGGGCCCCTCCCCAGAGTTTCTGATCCAGTCCATCTGGGATGGAACCTGGGAACATCCATCCAATAAGCTGCCACGTGACCCTGATGCTGCGAGGCCAAGGATCAAACTCGGGGAACTGCTGGTCTCTTCTCTGGGATCGCATTTCCTCTCTGCTGCTCTATTTAAAAGCTGACAGCTCAGGAATCAGGGGCCTGGATCATGTAGGTCCACCTCCAACTGCATATGTTACCTTGAGGAAGTCACTTAACCGTCCTCTGCTTATATCTTCATCCATGAATTACGGTTCACTTAAATGCCTTTTGAAAGAATACTTTATAAATTGTCAATTGTGCATATCCATGTATGAAGACTCCACTTAGGCAGAATTTTTGAGGAAACCTTTAAAATGAAAAAGCAATAGAAAATGTCCGTTTTCCTCTACTCTATAAAGAGTTGGAAGCTTGGTGTAAGAGGAAGTGTACCCATGGAGAATGTACTTAAAATCCAAATGACCCAGGAGGGACCTCATCTTATTTGGCAGATAAAACTTTCCCTAACATCTAGTTAACAAATTAATAAAAGAGGACATAAATAAAAGGGAATAATAACGTGGAGCTATCTGGGCACCTGAGTCCTTGAGCCCTTTAGGGCCTTGGCACCCAAAGGGAAGGGGGAAAGATCCTTGTCTCTGAGGCTTTGAAAGAGGCTTTCCTTGGATAGGGCATCAGGGAATCTCCCGGGCCCTAAGAGCTGAAGGGCTGACTTGCCTGGGGCATGAGTCTGTTGGATCCAATAAAGGGGAGGGGAGAGGGGAGATGTCCGTTAAGTAATCTTGCTATTTCATTTGGTGCAAAAAGAGAAGGCAAAACACCAGAACAGTCAATGAGCCAAAGCACAGAATTAGGCAGGATGTAAATGCAGGCCGGCCCTTCCTGTTTCTCCGCCTGCGTGAAGCGCTCACTGTTGATGCTCACACACAGCATGCATGAAACCGTGGTGACCCTTTTGTGTTTCTTGATAGGCGAAGATGAGAACGAATTTGAGAATTTCATGCTGCCTCTTACAGTCTCTTTTGAAGCAGTGTTACAGATATTCAACAACAACTTTAAACAAGAAGACGTGAAGGTGGGTTTATTTCCAAACAGGAGGAAAAGCAATTTTGTTCATTCTTGAATACCTAGGTCCAGAGGAGGTGCTGCATGCCCACGTGTGCTCTGTGCCTCATCCGCTTCCTGTCCCTACTGCATGTGTCTTTCAGTTGTACACTTTTCACATAAATGTCGAAGTTCATGGGCTGTGAGTTGGGACAGTCAGTTTATGATTAGGCGACACAGATTTATCTCTCTTTGCAGTTAATGTCTTTAAGAGAACATTTCTCCTGGGCGCACACTTTAAGTATCCCTGTCCCCTCATCTACCCTCATATTTATATGGAAGAATGCACAAACATACTCATGTTAAAACACTACATCTCTAAATATTTTTATACAAGAATTTATATAAATCAAGACTTTATTAAATGGCTAGGCATATACGTATAAATAGGAGCTGGTCTTGAAGTATTGCATTCTTAAGCTGAACAAAGTGATTAGGATAACTGATAGCTAAGTAAGGTTTTTATGTGCCTGTGGGAGCCATATTAGGATTGATTTGACAAGTCAGTTCAGCTGTGGCAACAGTCATAATATCTAAGATAACATTATGTTTTATTAGTAAAATCCTTAAGTGTAGCAAGCTGTTTGTGACAAAGCAGTCCCATATTTTAATGTGGAGGATGGAGAGCACAGGGTCTGCTCAGCCGGAAGAGCATCTTCTGAAATTATGTGTCCAGGCCATATTAAATAGATTGACACTGATCATTATTTGTAAGAAAGTAAGTAGTCCCAAACATGTAGGCACCTTTGCTGATGATACTTGCGTCACATTTTATCATTATTTGAAATAAGTTGACCAAAATACTAACCATCGCTTTCCATGGCACCTCTTCTCTCTACAAAAAAAAATTCGCAGCAAGAAGCCAACTAGAAAAACAATTGCCTTTGATGATTACTTTAGGATAAGTCTTCTACCAATAAACTAATTACCTAAATACTGTACCTTTTCATTTAAAATTAAGTTTTTGAAATGAGTATTTATCAGCATGCAGTAGTCACAGAATTTTAAAACCGAAAGAGATTTTCTTTGCCTTCATAGTTTTGTTGAGATTCTCTACCAGTTTCTCTGCGGGTAGCTGTGTTTTTCAGATGTGTCACTAGTATTTCGTGACCAGCAAGATCTTTGCAGCTTTAAGGTGGCTACTGCTTTATGTGAAAAAGAAGCGAGTTGAAAAACACGGTCTTTATAAAAATTACATCTGTCTCATTTGAAGATTTCATTATGTTCCAAGTCCATTTTGATGTGATCCCATCTAGTTTGATAGAAACCATCTTCCTCCAGTCATTTTTAATGGAGTTCCAGTGATATATCCCTAAACCAGCAAGTTCTTAACGACCCTGGAAAGTGACTGCTTGATTACACTTTAACGGTATTTGCAAATAAAATCACAAGTAATTAAGGGGAAATCTCCAGGCTTTTGAGCAAGTTTGATGCATGATAACTGCCTGATTCAGCTTCATCTAGAGTAATGCTGTGTAGGCAACAGCTACGGAGATCAATAGCAACGTAATGACAGTGGCAGAATTAAGTGAGTAACCTGAGAACTGTGCCTCAGAATGCATGCAGCTGCCACGAACCAGGCCACACAGTGCACTCCGTGCTTCCGTCCTAAATGTTCATCAAAAGACGCCCTGCAGGAAAATGGAGTTAGATGCTCTTTATTGCTGATCGTGTCTCTTGCCACATTTATCAGGGAAATTGGATTAGCAGTTGGCAGCTGCAGGTAGACAAGATTCTGCAGTGATTAAATATGCAGCTTGGCTGCATTTGTTGTGACAGACCTTTAGTAAATTCTACTGTAAGCACCATCTGTCTAATTTGTATAAAGGAAACTTGGGGCTTTAAGCTACCGGTGAAGGACTAAATCCGTTGCTTTATCATAAACAAAACTTTTGCACTAAATGCTTTTAAATGTAATTTATTAGGTTAGGGCTATTTTTCTATCATGATGAATAAGTAATACATGCAAAAGTGCTTTCAGGTACTTCATTTTGCAAGGACTAGAGATAAAATCGGTTCGGTTTTGTTCTTCAATAAAGTATTTAGTATTCCAATCCACAGGAGGTGATGCTGTTAAAATATCTCTATGAAAATGCCTCGGGACTGCCATATTCATTTAATTTGCAACCCTTACCAGGATTTTCTAACTCCCTATTTATAGATATTTTTCAAATGCCGATTTCAGGATGAACATAAACATTTAAGACCAATGTTGCCAAATTGAAATATGGTTGTGAGTGGAAGAAATGCTGCAGAACTCTTAAATTTATAGCTTTGTTTTCTTGCTTGGTCCTAATAAAACTGAAGAGAATGTTGAATTTTTGTCTTAGGTTTTTCTCTTCAAAGTAAAGGAGGGGGGCGGGGGAGAAAGAAAATGCTATGACAAAGCTTGGCTCTAAAGCATTCATTTAAAATATATGTTTTTCCCATATATTTGGGTTCATAGTAAAATCTAGTCCAATACTCTCCTGACTCGTGCATCATTTTTTATTTGACCATGACATCATCAGTTTTAAGGAAAATGAATGAAAACTTCTCGGGGAAAGAGGAGCAGTTAAATAGGAACCTGCTATCTTTAGTCCCTTCGTATAAACTCCACAATGTTAAATTATTTAAAATCCCTGATTTTCAGCATGCGCACATTAAAAGTTTTCGCACTAAGTGCCAAATGTTGCAAACAGCACTTTAACAGAATGATTTTGCTTTGATCCCTGTAGCAGTTCCTGAATAATTTATCACAGGTTATTGCCTTAATTCTGGAGAGGGATAGAGCAATAAAGGCAGATGAAAACACTCCAGTTGAAACACCTTGGGGCCTGCTCATTCCTCTGACACGGCTCTTTTGTTGGAACTATTTAGAGGTTATTAAGATGTGTCTCCAGAATTAAGAGTATGCTTTAAGGATGAAGACAGCCATCTTAATTCTAAAGACAAAGCACAATGACCCTTCACCTTCTTTTTCTTTGTTGTTATTATATAGTAGAATTATGAGGATAATATTATAGCTGCCCCCAGTAGTGCCACTACAGTAAAGGGTCTGTCAGACTTTCCATTAGAAACCCTGTTTGGGGGTCAGGGTGGAAGGAGCCACATTTCAGCTGTTTCCCAGCCCATCCGTCTCACACTTGGCACACAGACGACTGTTAACCGGGCAGGGACTGAGCACTGAGCAGCTTCTCCGTGGGTTTTCCAAGAGGAATCTTCAGGCCCCGATGTCCCCGAGTTAACCCACCCCACAGATCACCCCCAACACACACAGATACCGCACCGCTCACTTTTCACATCTGCCAGGTGTTGACCCCCTGCAAAGGAAAGGCAACTTAACTGTTCAGATAAACCTCCCTGTGCTGTTTTAAATGAGATGGTAAGCTACGGCTCCTCCTGCCCTAGGTTACAGTCCGATCACCGCTCACTCTCAGCTCCGAGTGCCCGGTATTCCAGTCTCATAGCAGGCATGTTGTGGCTCTCACGAAAATACTCCCTTAGTGTTGTTTGAGTATCAGTATAGCCTAGAGTAGTACTCACGGTGTTTGAGATAAAAGATTCTGTTTGAGCATAAGAAATCTGTTTCTTATGTTAACACTGCATTTTCCTGCCCATCAAATCTATTGAAAACATACATTTAGTTATTACTACTAGGTGCTTTCTCTACTATACAGTAACATTTTCTTCACTTGAACATTGATAGAATTTCATAGATTTGAGTCCATTAAACCAAGTCTGTGAACTTGGTGTTTTAAGGAAGAAATGTATGGTGGAATAATAACATTTTTGTACAATGAGGATAGTCTAAAATATTTTAAGAGTCCTTTGAATTGGGCACAAAGAAAGTAACTCTTGGCTCCTCTTGCCTAATTTAGAGTTGAATGGCGAGTGCCTGAAGCCATGTGAAAACTTAAGCTACTGTGAAGAGCAGCCTGTGATCTGTAAGGGTACATAGTAAAGGTAGAGCAAAAAGGCCACTGGAACAGACCACAGAGCCAAATAGTCCGTATTGAACTGCACCAGGAGGCTGAGAAACGTGGGAGACTGAGAGGGAGCAGGTACTGGGTGCTGGAAGTAGGTCACACAAAAGGCAAAAAGGTTTTTCAAAACACATGAGGGAAGGATACAAGAGGCCAGCTGGTCACAGAAAGTCAAGGACTGGTGAGATCATGAGAGGAAAACTATTAAGTCACTTAAAGAAGCAGAAATAGGGAGTGAGGGTTTACCGGTTCAGAAATTCAGATTTTAAAAAAATCATTCTATAAACTGAGCCCATAACAATATCCTGACAAACATCTCCAGCCGCCATGAGAAACCTGTTAGGCAGGGTGGGCGAAAAGATCAGAGACTTAAACACCCTGGCAGAGAAACTATTACTTGGTACTTGGAAATGTTACTCAGTCATTAAGCTGAGGGTCATGATTCACTTCCAAATCCTTAATGATAATTTAAACACCTTCCTAAAGAGGTTTTCATTTATTACCAAGGCACGAGGAAAAAGTAAATCTGGTCAAATGAAAAGTTCCGAGACCGCTTTCTGGCATATTTCCACTGAAACAGTATCTGCAGAAATCACAGTTGTGTATCTCAATTATCCCACCCCCTTGTTTTGCAATTATGTTTATTTGTGCTCCTTGTTCTGACATTGTAGCATCTGTTCACGGGTTTTCTGTTTCTCTTACCATGCATCATCCTAAGGACAGCTTAATTAAGGATCCAGAGTCCTAGTCAGATCTCTCATTTTAGAATCAAGTTTTTGTTTTTCTAGAACTAAATATTTTTAGAACACTTTAGTAGGCATCAGGTTCTTGTTAGGCATTTTTACATAAATTTATTTCTCATAATTCCTCTGAAAGAGTATTAGCCCCTTTTATAGCTGAGAGAACAGAGACTTATACATTGCCTTGCTTAAAACTTATAGTTAAGAAGTAATGCTGGAATTCAATGTCAAGTTTTCTGACATAGAATGCATAACTCCTCCCTACACTTCTTTTTCCCTTGGGAAATGAGAGTTTCTTGTTATATCATGGTACAACAGGTCACCTGGACAGTTTTAATTTGTCCTAGGTTACTCAGGATATTTCTGAGAAACCTTCAGATGCCAGTGTACTTCCACAACAGACTTCACTTTGCAGAGTAGGACTGATTTCATGTGAGCTGGTGTTGTTAAGGCTTGCTATTATTAAATAATGTCTAGACCCCGTGCATTTCTGTTCTGTGCAGTTATCAATCCTCTTTTTGCTCTTTTGGCATTATTCAGAAACAAAGTGTATTAAGAATCTAACTTCCTATATTATTAGAATTATGCCTTAGCTCAGTTTATAAGAATCAAAGGAGAGTTGGTCAGCAGATTTCATGGCATGTTTGTTTAAAGTGTCTATGGTTTTCTGCAGAAAGGGATCTGAGCGAGACATTTTAGCTAATGAATCAAAATCAGATATGTGGTCATTATTGCCTGATTATTACTCCATCTGCTCTGTGCTAACGTGAAAATCAATTACTGTGTCTCTTTCCCACTGACAGCGTATGTTGATCGGGCTGGCAAGAGATCTTCGAGGGATTGCCTTTGCACTGAACACAAAGACCAGCTACACCATGCTGTTTGACTGGATGTATCCTTATTACACTGTGACAATACCAGCTCTGTGCACAGAGGGACGCCAGGCCCCTCGCTTTCGTTTAATAGTATGGCACAGTAGGGAAGAGGAAACAAAGCTAAATGAACTAATGTGTAATCAGCTAAAAATTACAGCACAGTGGCAGCCATGCAGATAACTGAGCATAACATTTGGAGACCCAGCTCGGAGAGGTCACTTTTTGGGGCCATTAAATATTGACAACTTAAAAATCACATCCCCGAAGGATTGTTTTTGTTGGGGTTGCAGGGATAATCAGGCTAACATCTTTAATTCAGGACCAATGCATCCTTCCGTTTGGCATTTCGAGGAGATTTGAATTTCTATTCCATCTTAATTAACAGGGCTGAGAAGGTCACTTTATCTCTTAGAGGCTTAATTCATCATGCTACAGATTTTATCATTGTGAAAATATTAATGGATATGGAAAGGAGGAAAAAAATGGTCAGGATTTTTCATTTGGTACATGAATTTACCTTGGCCAAAGTTTAGTGCAGACAGCAAAATAAACACAAACAGACATCCCCCATAGAAATGTCTCATCACATAAGAGTGGAAATAACATGGACCTTAGGGTCAGAAATCCCAGTGCCTCGCTTTCTGTGTAAACCTTGGCCAGTCATTTGCCCACTCTAAGCCTCAGTTTCCTCACCTACAGAAGGAGACATCCAGAATCACGACCATTAACATAGGTGATGCACTTTTGCCTAATGTCTGAAACATGTTGGGTAATCTTAAATGGTTATGGTTAATATTCTTTTAAATAGTATAGTATTTAATAGTATTCTTTTAATAGTATTTTCATAGTATTGTATGAATCCTCCTTGATCCTAACAGGAAGTGACAATGTAGGCAAGTCACATATGTGTAATATAAAGTTGCCATGCCTTTACTCATGTACCCATCAGTGCACGTAAGAAAAATTCTGTGGCCTCAAAGCTATTTAGTTTTATAAGTTGCACTGCTTTTCAATTGCTCCTTACAGCCCTTATCCAAACTTCCCTCATAAATTGTAAAAGAAACTTCTTTAAGGCAGTCTAATCCAGCTATGGCCAGAATATAACCAACAGGGAACCTGGGCATGTTTTAGGAAGAACTCTCTCTGTAATTTATTTAATTGACGTTATTTGAATGCTGACTTACATTTTACCGTTAAAACCTACTTCATTAGATTTCTGTGCCCATAGAAGGTTAGAGACACTGTTCCATGGCATTGAGGAACCGTGTGTAAGCATACAAAGTATATGTATAGAGATTACAGATTTTAACATGGGAATTCATATAATTCTTTAAACAATGAATGATAAGTTAGAATTACATATGGCCCTTTTATTTCTCTAAACATAAATAGAAGCTCACAAAGTAAAACTTTCACTTATTTGAAAAGTCATAAAATCCTAGTTTCCTCACTTTGAAATTGAAGGTCATCTTCAAACCCAGCTACAACTCTAGGCTGTCCAGCAATTGATGTTTCGTGTTTTCCTCATCGATAGTCTTCACCAAGAGTCAAGGCAGAATCTTTCCCTCAAGGTCGGAGAATAAAAATAGCTTCCGTAATTGACACTGCCTAAAATTTATAGAACGTACTGCAATTTAAGTTTTTAAGGAACCCTGCTTTCCATTCCCTGACCTAGCTCCTTCTTCTTGGCACCTATTGAAATAGTGAAACTTTTGTCCAGCAGATGGCAGAAAATAGCAAACGGAAAACCTTGGGACCTAATGTTTTGTTTTAAACCAGAAACCATTGTCTCCAGCATTTGACCATAAATGCGAGTTATCAGGGTCCAAGGCAGGGGGTGAGGTGTCAGTTATGCAGGAAGTGGTGTTAGGTTGCCAGACTGGTGGCTTGGTACAGGCCTTGCTTATAATAATCGAGTTTCAGTAGCAAATCAGCTTCCTTGGGAAAAGGCCAAAGGCTTTTCATAATTGTATTGACAACAAAATGAATATGATAAATGGTATTCATTCAGTTGAGACAAGATTTATAGTTTTCCTTTGGGCCTGGATGAAGAGCAAATATTTATAATAATAGTAAAATTTGTTTAAAAGTTACATTATTTGATAATTCAAAAAGGTTTATTAAAATATTTTGAAATACTTTAAGCAGTTTCACGTGATATAAAGTACAGAAGCTTTCCAAAGTATTCTAGTAATGTAAAAATGAATAAGAATATGATTTAAAAAAACATGGATATGAAAGTCATTTATTCTTCCTGAAATATTGATATGTCAAGCCGTCAGTGGTGATTCCCACATTACTGCTGGGGAAAGTTTATTTGCCTTTTATCCACATAAATGTGTGTTCTTTAATTTGTTATGCAGTCCTTAGCATGCAGAAGAATCATCCTATAAGAGCACATGTCATCTTACAGTCAAAATGCATTTTATTTATGGTGATTATTTGATAAAAGGCTATTTTAGTGGTTAGCTATTTAATTCAAAAACATTTCTATAAATACTGACTGCATTAACTGCTACACGAACTACATTGCTCATCACTCTGTCCTTCAAAACTAAATTGCCTGAAACTCCACAGCAACCATGTTGACAAATGGTTCCGCTGCTGGAGAATTGAAGAATTACTGATAATCCTTCTTTGCTCCTGTCGTGAGAATGCAACAGTAGGAAAGCCCCTTACCTTGCAGTGTTAAGTCACCTTGTTTAAACATTCCCAGATCATATTTAGACTGAAGTACCAAAAATCCAGAGGGAAATTGAAGGGAGAGGGAAAGAAATGGGTATGATGCTAGTTCCTCATAGTCTTTTCATTGTCATAGTCTGATCTTTGAGTCCACTGTTTTCCAACCAGCCAATCAATTCTGTTTATTTATATGCGTAAAACATGCACTGGCAAGGCCAGACAATGAGCAGTGTCTGGACTGGGAAGGTCTTAGATTCCAGTCTGGTTTTACCACTTACCTGGTGAGGTCTTGGGTACATTACTGAATGTCTCAGAATCGGTGTTTTCTTCTGTGGAACCGGGCTAATAATACCGATCACACTGGTGTGTTGTAAAATGAATGTACTGACACACATAGGGCCTAGTACAATGCCTGACACAAAGGAAATGCTCTATCACTACGTTTTAGTTGTGTTTCCTAACAGGGATGAGACAAAGGAGTCCCATTTTGCTCACTTATTCAGCTGGTTTTGCTAAGGTCTGGGCTAGGTTTTATGAGGGCTGTAGATTACTTTGGATCAAATCCTACCCCCAAAATGATCTTACAGTTTAATAGATCTGGTTAGATAACTACATAAGTGACTATAATAAAATATAAAAGGTGATAGATGCAAATGTTAAAGATACAAATGGAGTGATTACATTTAGCTGAAGATGCAGGAAAGGTCCTATAAAGGTGAAGATATTTCCTTGGATCTTATCAAATAAGTAGGATTGGGCTGCTGAAACTTTTGGCTGACATACAGGTCAGGAAGGACAATAGTGAAGATGACGTATTGTTATACAGACCATTTACTTCATGGTTAGAACTACAGGTTGTCAGGGACCCTTAAATATCAGACTAAGGATTTAGATCCTTATTCCATAGATAGTACAAAGCAATTGATTGTTGTGATTTACTAACAAAATAAGAATTACATTTCAAGAACAAAACAATGATCAATATTTTGGACAAACTGAAGTAGGGAATAAAGTAAGCCTCAAAAATGGCTGTTCAGCAAGCCTTTTTTTTTTTTTTTTTTTTTTTTTTGAGTGCTCTGTGCCAGGCCTGAAGACTGAATAAAAGGATTTCTTTTTACAAGAATGAATAAAAGAGTGCTCTTTAGAAGCTCACACTCCAGTGGGTGGAACAAATAACTAACAATCAATGTGTTGTAACAAAAATGTATATAAAGGACCTTGTGAACATATGAGGAGACTGGTGTTTCTGGCAAGAAGAGCAGGCTTCCAAGAAAGTGAAAGTTGGGTGAGGTGTTGAGAGGTGGCTGGGCAGGCATTTGCCGGACAGTAGGGAGAGGAGTGGCTCCCAGCAGCATCCGCCTTTGTGAGCAAAGGTACAGATGCTGCATATCTAGGAATACCTTCTAGAGAAGCTCTGAGCTGGCAGGCCGTTGCTGTTCTAGAACCACATTCTCACACCCTTGCTTCATAACAGTTTTATCAAGAGGTCTTTTGTTGTCTTCTAGTGTATTTCGATATGTATTCTCTGTTATGAAGTCCCGTAGAGAAAGAATTATGTGTTTACTCATTTCTTTTTAGGAGGTTGGACAGGAGTAGCATATAGAAAGTACTAATAACTCCTGGGTTAATGGGTGGGTGGGTGGGTGGTTGTCAAGAAGCAAATCTCATTTTCTTATATTTGGCATTTTACAAAGTAGCATCATATCCTTAATGTTTGTGTTTTTCATTTTATGTGATGTAGACCTTAGAGATTCATTGAAAATATCTAGGTGAAACCAATTAGATCTGTGCCTCTTCTACCCAAGGGCCCCTACCGTCTACCTCCTGTCCATATAGATGTAGTCCTCACAAGGCCACTGGAAAATTAGGATGGGGTTCCGATTCTCCATCGGAGTCTGGCATTCTCCCTCTGAAGCCCTTTTAACCTCTCTGCTTGGCAGACCTCCCCTCTGCTTCCCTGCATCACTCATTTTCTCTGTGGCAGTCACCTCTGTCAGAAGCATATTAGAGCTGGCACCACTCTCATTCCACACAGCAAAAGGAGCATCCCTCATGTCCCCCAGCCTTACCCCATAGTGACTGCAATATGCCCTGAAAATTAGGGTGGTCCCAATGCCCTCGGACTGCCTTGCAAAGGGCCTTGTGAGCGCTTGTGATATTCTTAGATCCTGAGATTTGTGTCTTTCCCTCTTTCTGATGAGCCTTGCAGATGCTTCCTCCCCAGTTATCACTGCATTTGTGCTTACGGTCTCAGTGGGACACTGGTACAGAGGAATGGAGACAGAGAGCATCAGTGGATTTGCAGGGAATTAAGAATGGCTCAACCTAGATCGAGTAGGAGTACTAGGAAACGAAACTGGATGTAGTGAGGGCCCACATCTTAAAGGGTCTTGTGTGCTATGCTAAGGAATTCGACATTTATTCTAAGAGCAGGAAGAAGATTGCCATTTTTTTCACCAGGGAGATCTCTCCCATTGTCACACGAAAGGGACCACCACCAAATGATTCAGTTCAGCACTTTTCATCCGCAACAGAGAGACAAGTACATTGGAAACCTCAGAAAGAGAGAGACTTGGAGATTAGGAAATGAAGGCAGGGGCATAGTAAGAGGGTTTTTTCTGCTGCAGTTTTAGACCTTAATTTGATCTTTATGTGTCCATTTGGCAAGGAGTCGGCCAGTTGTGGGTTGGAGCTATTGGAGCTGTCAGTTTTCCGGGTTCCGATGGTCTTGGTCATTGACTTATCAGAGGCATAAACTCCTTGGTTGGTGAGGACGTTTGAGAATTTCTCCTTGGGTGTATGTACATGGAACTACCTTTTAGTGACATTGAGTAGATTAAAAGTTACCCAAAGGTTTTCTTCAAACTAACATCCCCAGTGTTCCTTGGAATTACAGTGGGTCCAAGCAGAGCAGGTCAATAACTTAAAAGAAAGAATTGTCCTAACTGCTTTGGCTCAGTGGATAGTACATCGGCCTGTGGACTGAAAGGTCCCAGGTTCGATTCTGGTCAAGGGTATGTACCTTGGTTGCGAGCACATCCCCCAGTAGGAGGTGTGCAGGAGGCAGCTGATCAATGTTTCTAACTCTCTATCCCTCTCTCTTCCTCTCTGTAAAAAATCAATAAGGTGTGTGTGTGTGTGTGTGTGTTTTTTAAAGAAAGAATGTATGTAATCTCTAAGCTGTGAGATAAAGTGATTTATAATTACTGTTTCCCTCTACTTTTATATATTTTTTAAAATTCATAATGAGCAACTTATTCCTTAAGTAGTTTGAAACCCAAGAAACTCTTATAATAACAATTAAAATCTGTTTTTATCCTATTAACTAAATTTATTTTTCTTTTAAGGGGCACTAACTTTCAGGAACAATCTTTCTTTTGACACTTAAGTTCTTTAACAGACTTTATAAAAGGTACCCAACATATCTTCCCATTCTGCAGAAGGCTATTGAGCAATGGTATGGAGAGCCAGCATGTACCACTCCCATCTTAAAGCTCTTGGCAGAACTGATGCAAAACAGGTAAGAGGTGGGATGGGGAGTAAAAAACAATCTATTTGGTAGCAGTCTCCAAATGTCAGAATTTATTGCCTAATGTGTGTATAATCAAGGCTTAGCAAGAACCCAGGAACCAAAACAAGATAATCAGTAATAGCAATAGACTCTATACTAATAAAAGGGTAATTTGCCAATTAGACTGGGAGACCTTCCAGACAAAGCCATGGTGGCAGGACCGAGGCAGAGGCAGTTAGGGGTGGTCAGGGCAGGAATGGAGGGAAGTTGGATGTGATCAGGTTGGGGGCAATCAGGCCAGCAAAGGGAGTAGTTGGGGAAGGCTGGCGGGGGGACAGTTGGGGGTGAGCAGGACGAAAGGCTGGCAGGTGAATGGTTAGGAGCCAGAAGTCCCAGATAGCAAGATGGATGTCTGACTGCCGGTTTAGGCCCAGAGATCGGACATCCCTGAGGGGTCTCAGATTGGAGATGGTGCAGGCCGGGCTGAGGAACACCTCCCTTCCCCACCCCCCTGTGCACAAATTTTGTGCATCGGGCCACTAGTTAGAGACATAAGGCTGAGTCCTTTAGAGAAAGAAACACCCACCATTGTTTAAAGTAAGTTAAGACACAAAATGGAAGAAGGGCAGATATTTTAACTGTTTCACTGCTTAACTCCAATTCTATAGAATTTTAAAGCATGAAAGAAGTTTTGAGGTCTCTGAATTGAGAGGCTTCATTTTATGGATAAAGGACAGAGTCCCAGGGCAGTTCAAGATACAGTTTTTTACAGGAGCCCTGGGGATTGTCCTGGCTTTGATTTTTAAGTTATCCTTCTTCCTCTTAGGAATATTAATAAGATGCATGTATGTGGGTGATTTATGCCCTCAAATTTTTCATTTAAACAGCAACTACAACCCTTTCCCAAAATTGCCTGTGTGACCTTATAATTTGCATAGATCAGCAGAGATTCAATAACTGCAGATAAATATTAACAAAGATGTAGCCAAAAGAGAAGCTCATTGGTTTACCTCTTTAAAACATGTCATTGTGAATATGGCTTAGCACCAAATTACCTGTCACTTAGCCATCCTGTCTCATCAGTTCCTCTTTGTAATCCGTGTGCTGGAAGGGAGATACTCAGACAGGAGTATGGATTGCTGCTCTAATTTTATCTCTGATGCTGAGATTTCATAGCAATAATTTAAAAAAATTTTTAACAAGAGGTGGGAAAAGACCTGGAAAAAGAATAAATGTGAGTATTCTTTTGAAAGCTGTTTCTGTTTTTAACCATTCCCATAGGTGACTTAAATACTAGAAGGAAAAGTAGCTCTGTGTTTTATATTAGAAATTTAGTTTTTATTCAATTACAATTTTTTCAGCCAAATAATTGATATTGGATATTACTGACAAACATGTGGTACTAAAGGAAGAAGCATTGCATTATATATATTGTGAAGTATTTTCTATCAGCCATAGGCAGGTCATTTATATCTAGCACAGTTGTTTTAACAACTACCTAGTGAAAACCTGCAATCTCAGAAAATATATTACCTTGTTTGTTTCTCTATAATTGAATGTGAATTACGTCTGTACATTTCTTTTTTTATTCAGAAATTATATACCAACAATCAAATGTTCCACAATAATAAGTTATCATTGAACTTCATTCTAAAGCATTTTGAAAAAGCATAGTAAAGCAAGAATTCATTCTATTCCTGGCTAACAGTACTTTGGCAAATGTCTTTGCTTTTTTATATTTCTTTGAGCTGGTTTCATATTTTTGCTAATCCTTTTAGAAATATATCATTTCTCAAAAGCACAGGAGCAGGCATATCGGAGCCACAGTGTGTTAAAAAGCAAATATTGTATCAGGACGGCGTGTCCTTTGCTCTGTCCCATGGTTCTCCCACCTGTCAGGAGCCAGGGAGGCAGAACTGCCCTCGTTTGGGACTTCTGGGGTGAGGTCTTTATGTGGGCTGTTTGCAGTGGGATCTATTCTATATGTAATTTCGTGTGTTTGAAATGTGCTTGAAGTAGCAGATGAAGCATTGTGTATGCCTGCAGTACTAAAGGTACCTAGGTTTCCTATCACTTTAGAATTTGTTTTTAAAATGAGTATTGGATACAACAAGAAATCTCAAATGTAAATCTCTATCCAAGGATCTATATAAATTGCACTTACACACCCGGTGCTTCTGTTATTATCTATCAGCCACTTTGCATAGAAGGAGAAGGGTAAGAAGTTTGTAATAGACCATGTTGTTTGGACAGGTAAAAAGTGAATTCTTAGATTCAGCAAATAAGTGAAAATAATTTTCCATGATTATCCTAGTATCTTTGTAGTGAGAAAATTAGCATATGTATTAATGGAATGGCGCTTTCAAACAGATAACTGTACTGCCGCTACTTCTAATAAATGGAAACGCTGTGCATTTTCAGCCTGGATTTGGTTTCTCTATCTACACAGATAGTCTAATTTTTGCTATATTTCTTAGATCCCAGCGTTTGAATTTTGATGTATCATCTCCTAATGGAATCCTTCTCTTCAGAGAAGCTAGTAAAATGATTTGCACTTATGGTGAGTATCTCTCTCCATATTTGTCTGCAATATAACTTTATCTCTTTGGAGGAAAGAAAGATGTTTGTTATTTTGTTATTTTTGACTTCATATCTGTATGCATTTGTGAAGTGGGTAATAGGAGTGCAGAAAGCCAGATAGCTATATTGGCATCAGAAGTGAGCAACATGCCTCTGACTACATATCATTCCTGACCGCCTTGATGAATTTCTCCTGGGGAAAACTGCAGTGTCAGTAGGCAAAGAGGATGCACTGGGTGGAATATGGAAAAGTTACAGCATATCTGAAATTGCTGAAAGTTCTATCGGATGTGGTTGTCTTTGGTGAAGGAGTGCCTAGACCAGTGTGTCACCAGCATTGCATTTTGAGAAAATATCCTGGTAAAGAGCAGTAAATACTCTACTATAGGACTGTGGGACACTCCAACCCTGGAATCATTGTTCAGTATAAAGACTGTCCTGTTCAGACTTGGTAAGGTGCTAGAATAGGGCCTTAGAAGGACCATAAACCCTAATACTTACCAATTCTGACAGCTTCATAAGTGAAATTCTGTAGCTGCTGGGGGGAGGGGGGGGAAGGGGGGGAAGGACTTGAGAATCCTCCATGCTCTGGTTTGGAGCCCTGACTAAACACCGAACACGGGCCCTAGCAGTGCCCACTCTGGGCCAGCTGTGTCCTGTGTCCTATGTGCTCTTTACTCTGCTCTTCTCTGTGGCCTGTCCTTTCTTACTTTCCCAAATCAGTAGCCAACTCCAGTACATGCTCTCAAAAACTGCCTGGGATTCTCATGCACCTTTTTTAGTCCCTAGAAACAAATTATACAAAATCCCATAGAGCTTCTTTATTTTTTGTTTTTTGTTTTGTTTTGTTTTGTTTGGGGGGGGGGGGGGGCAACCATTAAAAGTGTATGACTTTTTTTTTTTTTTTTTAAGTTAAAGCCCATTTTTTTAAAAGACAAAAAAACCCACAACATTTTCTTAGAAGTGTTTTACACTGATTCAGGATATATTCTGGGTTCTGATCTGTATGCATTGTAGGCCTCTGTTAAAAATGCTTCGTTTTAATTGTATAGTTGATATTTAGAGTAGGAGATTGTAATTATATGGGAACTGTAGCTATCACCTCATTAAAGACTTACACTCTCTGATTTTCATCTCTGCCAATAACTGTGTCGCCACAGCTTTTGCAACCCTTGAAAATGGACACATTGGAATCATAGAAAGGAGAAACGTTTTGCCTCCTAAAGGTTAAAATGGATCCCTTTTAAAGTGTTCTCAATACCTAATCGCACTTCCATGCGTGTCCAGTTCCTTTCAATGAGAAGTGTGTTTGGACCTTCTCCCAAAGCATGATATCTTAGAAAAAGCATAATCTTGGAGATTAAAATATATGAGTACCAACCCTTACTAACTCCATGATCTTCAGTAAGACACTATATGTTTTTGTGCCTAGTTTTCTCATACACTGTAAAATTAGGAATCCTATTGTCACTCTGTATCCCTGGTCCCAGGACCCCCTCGGATACTAACACCCACTGACTCTCAAATCCCTTATATGAATTGGCATAGGATTTGTGGATAAGCTACAGCAGAGTGGTCTGCACATCACTTCATTCATGGATTCAAAGTGGAGCTCGGTGTGTGACAAATTGAAGCTTTGCATTTTGGAATTTCTGGCACTTTTCCCTCAGTTGTTTTAATGTATTTTTATTGATTTCAGAGAGGAAGTGAGAGGGAGAGAGAGACAGAAACATCAATGATGAGAGAATCATTGATCTGTCGCCTCCTGCACGCAACCCCAACTGGGGATTGAACCCTGCAATCCGGGCATGTGCCCTTGACCGGAATTGAACCTAGAACCCTTCAGTCCACAGGCTGACACTCTATCCACTGAGCCAAACCAGTGAGGGCTTCCCAGTTTTACATCCCAGTTGACTGAATCTGCGAGTGCAGTACCGAGGGCCATAATGAACAGCACCTACTGGCCTACTCATCTAGTCCGGGAGAAAGGCAGCTAATGGAGCCACTGTGAGGAAAGAGCTTGGCACGGGCTGTGACATAGAGGAGGCACTCGCTGAAATGCCTCTCCTTGATCCAACGCTGTTCCTCGCACTCACAGAGCCCGCTTGCTTTGGACAGGGGTCACTGACCATATCACAGGCCACATGCTTGTGCAGGGATGCCTCCTACTCAGACCACACTGCTCAGCTTCCTTCTGCCTATAACAAGTGCTGAGAGTCTATTTCCTTACTTTTAAAAGGAAGTAGTATTTCCATTATGAAGCAATGTACATATAAGAATACCGTATTTTCCGGCATATAAGGTGACTGTGCGTATAAGACGACCCCCTAATTTTACAGTTAAAGCATAGGTTTAGGCCTATATTCGCTGTATAAGAGTACCCCCCACTTCCGAGGCAACACCAGTTCTTTTTTTAATAGACCGCCTCTCTGACTCTAACCAATCTGAGCAGGCTTTTTACTAGAACACAGTGTAGCTTCAGGTACAGACATGTATAATTGCATGCATAAAAATCCTGCTTGGATTGGCTGAGTTAGAGAGGTGGTCCGAGCAGCCTTGCAGTGATTGGTGCGGAAGCGAGTTGGAAAATTCGTTTAGCGGCGTATAAGATGACCCCCGATTTTCGGTTGACTTTTTTTTTCGTTTCAAAAGTCGTCTTATACGCCGGAATATACGGTATCTTAGTCGTCAATAGAGCTTTAGCTATACGAATATTAGCTTCCTGATATTCACAGTTGTATCTTTCATTGCCCTCTTTCTGGGCCCAAGTTCTTGCACTAAGTGTCATTTTTCCTCTGAGGCTTATTCATCACTGCAGCTGGGCTGGTAAGGGCAGTGGCCACTTCCTCTGACAGTATTACTGCATTTCTAGAACAGTATGTGTCCAGGGAGTGACAACAGAGAACCTCAAATCAGCCAAATCTGTGGGCTCCAGCGCTGTCCGGTCTCTTTCTGTTGTCTGACAGAGAAGAAGGCGTCACAGCAAAAGCTGAGAAAGACAACTATTGATTTGGTGGAAGAACAAGAGGAGACAGAGGGAAACGGGAAGGGAAGGAAGAAGAGAGAGGATGTAGCACAGAAAATAGAAAAGACCCTGAAAGCATTCTGGAGAAGTGAAGTGTTTGCTTACCCAGAAAAAAAAAAAAAAACTAGGAGATTAGGCTAAGGCTCTGCTTCTCCATTTGGACTAGCAAGAATGGTGACTTCCATTTTCTTAATCAGCTATTATGTGCCCACTCCTATCCTAGGCCATTTATCAGACGTTAGCTCACTGAATCCTCAAGTCTGCCCTCACTAGTCATTGGGATTTGATTAAGTTGCTTAGCCACTTTTATTTCAGTTTCTTGTTAAACAGAGGAAAAAATGCCTCCTTCATTAGGTGGTTTAAAGATTCAATATTATTATTCATGAAAACCCTTAGAACAGTTAGCTGCTGTGATTATTGTTAGGAAGAAACTGAAGTTCATGGAGGTTAAGCGATTTGCCAAATATTACAAAGCTAGACAAAGCTGACCTGGACCAGAGTCTGAGTGACTTGAGACAATAGCCTTCATATTTCTTATTGCCACTTGGGAGTTGCCAAAGGAAGATTATACCTTGGATGTTTATGATGAAGCACTGTTCTTGTAAGTATGGCGATTTCTGTCCTAAAACTTAAGGGAAATCAAAGGCTCAATAGAGAAATGTCCTTCAACTTTGTCACCAGTGACTTTTACATGTGCACTTTACATAGAATTAATAGAAAACTGTTTCTCACCTTCCCTCATTCCCATGCTGACCCCATCAACCAGCATGATCCTGTCTGTCTTTGCTTTCTGTAATGTTTTATTGCCCATGCTGTTACCTCTGGAGATTCTAACGTGCTCATTGGAGGGAGACCATGAGGGTGCCATCCAGGAGTCTGAAGGTGAGGGACAGAGGGAACGGGGAGGGCACAAGAGCCAGCATTATTTATTTCTTTGGGAGCCAAGGTGAAGGAAGGGGAAGCCCGTGGAGGGAAAGGGCCAGAACATTCAGTGATCCCTTCTGTCCCCATCCGCACTGGGCTTTTTCTCTGCTCACCCCTCCTGGGCAGTATTTGGTAGTTAGGGACTGGGGGAGTGCAAAGCGGGAAGACTCATTTCCAAATGCACCTGATTTGCTCCTTATTTTGTGGGATACCTCCACCTCCCTGCTCAATGAGACTGGCAGAAAAATAATACTTTTGATATGCTGTTTTATTTATCTGCATTCTGTCATGATATACTTTGATGTAAGTTTTTAATTTTGCTGCAGCTCTCAGCTGCTCTCGCCGTTACAGCTCGGGGTCAGCAATGAGGTTAGCCACAGTAGCACAAAACAATTTCCTGTTCGTACAGCCCAGGTAACATTTGGGTGAGGATTAAATTTTACCACATTTTCTACTAGCCCAAGCCTATTATTTCTAATGAGTTTTAAATTGCTTCAAGAACGTGTATTTCAAAACTTAGTGCTGCGATCCGTTCAGCCCAAGCAACTTAATAAAAGAAATTTCTTTCTTAAATTTTTGGTTAAAGTGTTGCATGCAGTGTAATAAGTGTTATTACTTTGGAAACCTACTTCTCAGTTTTAAGAACTGGATGTTTTTTATTCTCAATTTCCATTTGTCTAATCTTTTCTTCCCTTTGCCTCTGGGTACTGGTATCTTTAGTGACATCTGTTGGTTGAAGAGGGCACAGAAGGGAGGAATAGTGTTTGTTTTTCTAAGACTGGCTTGGATGGAACTGCTTTTATTCCTTCCTTATGGCTCTGATTTAAGTTCAGCATGAAATCTGAACTTTAAAATGAACAGAACAAGCTATGCTTATTCGTTATACACAAGAACTGACAGCAGGGTTCTTTTTAGCATTGTATGCTCCAGGTGCATTTAAGGTATGACTTAATGGTATGCATAAATGGAATTTGTAAAGTGCTCGCCACTGTTATTTTCTGTGACCAACTCTTTGAATATATCACCGATAA